CTTTAAATTGCATTTTAAAACATATCTAGGTATAATAAATGGTAAAGAATGCTAATATAGATATAAAATCGATATTTTTTTGAAAATAACTTACTATGATCAAAACCAAAAATGCTTTATATTGCATTTTAAAACATATCTAGGTATTATAAATGATAAAGAATGCTAATATAGAAATAAAATCGATATTTTTTTGGAAATAGATTACTATGATCGAAACCAAAAATGCTTTAAATTGCATTTTAAAACATATCTAGGTATTATAAATGATAAAGAATGCTAATATAGATATAAAATCGATATATTTTTGGAAATAGCCTACTATGATCGAAACCAAAAATGCTTTAAATTGCATTTTAAAACATATCTAGGTATTATAAATGATAAAGAACGATAATATTGATACAAAATCGATATTTTTTTGAAAATAGCCTACAATGATCGAAATCAAAAATGCTTTAAATTGCATTTTAAAACATATCTAGGTATTATAAATGATCAAGAATGCTAATATAGATATACAATCGATATTTTTTTAAAAATAGCCTACTATGATCGAAACCAAAAATGCTTTAAATTGCATTTTAAAACATATCTAGGTATTATAAATGATAAAGAATGCTAATATAGATATAAAATCGATATTTTTTTTGAAAATAGGCTACTATGATCGAAATCAAAAATGCTTTAAATTGCATTTTAAAACATATCTAGGTATTATAAATGATAAAGAACGATAACATAGATGTAAAATCGATATTTTTTTGAAAATAGCCTACTTTGATCGAAATCAAAAATGCTTTAAATTACATTTTAAAACATATCTAGGTATTATAAATGATAAAGAACGCTAATATAGATATAAAATCGATATTTTTTTGAAAATAGCCTACTATGATCGAAATCAAAAATGCTTTAAATTGCATTTTAAAACATATAGGTATTAAAAATGATAAAGAATGCTAATATAGATATTAAATCGATATATTTTTTTAAATAGCCTACTATGATCGAAACCAAAATGCTTTAAATTGCATTTTAAAACATATCTAGGTATTGTAAATGATAAAGAATGCTAATATAGATATAAAATCGATATTTTTTTTGAAAATAGCCTACTATGATCGAAACCAAAAATGCTTTAAATTGCATTTTAAAATATATCTAGGTATAATAAATGATAAAGAATGCTAATATAGATATAAAATCGATATTTTTTTGAAAATAGCCTACTATGATCGAAAACAAAAATGCTTTAAATTGCATTTTAAAACATATCTAGGTATTATAAATGATAAAGAATGCTAATAAAGATATAAAATCGATATTTTTTTGGAAATAGATTACTATGATCGAAACCAAAAATGCTTTAAATTGCATTTTAAAACATATCTAGGTATTATAAATGATAAAGAATGCTAATATAGATATAAAATCGATATATTTTTGGAAATAGCCTACTATGATCGAAACCAAAAATGCTTTAAATTGCATTTTAAAACATATCTAGGTATTATAAATGATCAAGAATGCTAATATAGATATACAATCGATATTTTTTTAAAAATAGCCTACTATGATCGAAACCAAAAATGCTTTAAATTGCATTTTAAAACATATCTAGGTATTATAAATGATAAAGAATGCTAATATAGATATAAAATCGATATTTTTTTGAAAATAGCCTACTTTGATCGAAACCAAAAATGCTTTAAATTGCATTTTAAAACATATCTAGGTATTATAAATGATAAAGAACGATAATATTGATACAAAATCGATATTTTTTTGAAAATAGCCTACAATGATCGAAATCAAAAATGCTTTAAATTGCATTTTAAAACATATCTAGGTATTATAAATGATAAAGAATGCTAATATAGATATAAAATCGATATTTTTTTTGAAAATAGGCTACTATGATCGAAATCAAAAATGCTTTAAATTGCATTTTAAAACATATCTAGGTATTATAAATGATAAAGAACGATAACATAGATGTAAAATCGATATTTTTTTGAAAATAGCCTACTTTGATCGAAATCAAAAATGCTTTAAATTACATTTTAAAACATATCTAGGTATTATAAATGATAAAGAACGCTAATATAGATATAAAATCGATATTTTTTTGAAAATAGCCTACTATGATCGAAATCAAAAATGCTTTAAATTGCATTTTAAAACATATAGGTATTAAAAATGATAAAGAATGCTAATATAGATATTAAATCGATATATTTTTTTAAATAGCCTACTATGATCGAAACCAAAATGCTTTAAATTGCATTTTAAAACATATCTAGGTATTGTAAATGATAAATAATGCTAATATAGATATAAAATCGATATTTTTTTTGAAAATAGCCTACTATGATCGAAACCAAAAATGCTTTAAATTGCATTTTAAAACATATCTAGGTATAATAAATGGTAAAGAATGCTAATATAGATATAAAATCGATATTTTTTTGAAAATAGCTTACTATGATCAAAACCAAAAATGCTTTATATTGCATTTTAAAACATATCTAGGTATTATAAATGATAAAGAATGCTAATATAGAAATAAAATCGATATTTTTTTGGAGATCGATACTATGATCGAAACCAAAAATGCTTTAAATTGCATTTTAAAACATATCTAGGTATTATAAATGATAAAGAACGATAATATTGATACAAAATCGATATTTTTTTGAAAATAGCCTACAATGATCGAAATCTAAAATGCTTTAAATTGCATTTTAAAACATATCTAGGTATTATAAATGATCAAGAATGCTAATATAGATATACAATCGATATTTTTTTAAAAATAGCCTACTATGATCGAAACCAAAAATGCTTTAAATTGCATTTTAAAACATATCTAGGTATTATAAATGATAAAGAATGCTAATATAGATATAAAATCGATATTTTTTTGAAAATAGCCTACTTTGATCGAAATCAAAAACGCTTTAAATTGCATTTTAAAACATATCTAGGTATAATAAATGATAAAGAATGCTAATATAGATATAAAATCGATATTTTTTTGAAAATAGCCTATTATTATCGAAACCAAAAATGCTTTAAATTGCATTTTAAAGCATATCTAGGTAATATAAATGATAAAGAATGCTATAAATGATATAAAATCGATATTTTTTTTGAAAATAGCCTACTATGATCGAAACCAAAAATGCTTTAAATTTCATTTTAAAACATATCTAGGTATTATAAATGATCAAGAATGCTAATATAGATATAAAATCGATATTTTTTTAAAAATAGCCTACTTTGATCGAAACCAAAAATGCTTTAAATTGCATTTTAAAACATATCTAGGTATTATAAATTATAAAGAATGCTAATATAGATATAAAATCGATATTTTTTTAAAAATAGCCTACTTTGATCGAAACCAAAAATGCTTTAAATTGCATTTTAAAACATATCTAGGTATTATAAATGATAAAGAATGCTAATATAGATATAAAATCGATATTTTTTTGAAAATAGCCTACAATGATCGAAACCAAAAATGCTTTAAATTGCATTTTAAAACATATCTAGGTATTATAAATGATCAAGAATGCTAATATAGATATAAAATCGATATTTTTTTAAAAATAGCCTACTTTGATCGAAACCAAAAATGCTTTAAATTGCATTTTAAAACATATCTAGGTATTATAAATGATAAAGAACGATAATATTGTTACAAAATCGATATTTTTTTGAAAATAGCCTACAATGATCGAAATCAAAAATGCTTTAAATTGCATTTTAAAACATATCTAGGTATCATAAATGATCAAGAATGCTAATATAGATATAAAATCGATATTTTTTTAAAAATAGCCTACTTTGATCGAAACCAAAAATGCTTTAAATTGCATTTTAAAACATATCTAGGTATAATAAATGATAAAGAATGCTAATATAGATATAAAATCGATATTTTTTTGAAAATAGCCTACAATGATCGAAATCAAAAATGCTTTAAATTGCATTTTAAAACATATCTAGATATTATAAATGATAAAGAATGCTAATATAGATATAAAATCGATATTTTTTTGAAAATAGCCTACTTTGATCGAAATCAAAAATGCTTTAAATTGCATTTTAAAACATATCTAGGTATTATAAATGATCAAGAATGCTAATATAGATATAAAATCGATATTTTTTTAAAAATAGCCTACTTTGATCGAAACCAAAAATGCTTTAAATTGCATTTTAAAACATATCTAGGTATTATAAATTATAAAGAATGCTAATATAGATATAAAATCGATATTTTTTGAAAATAGCCTACTATGATCGAAATCAAAAATGCTTTAAATTGCATTTTAAAACATATCTAGGTATAATAAATGATAAAAAATGCTAATATAGATATAAAATCGATATTTTTTTGAAAATAGCCTACTATGATCGAAATCAAAAATGCTTTAAATTGCATTTTAAAACATATCTAGGTATTATAAATGAAAAAGAATGCTAATATAGATATAAAATTGATTTTTTTTTTGAAAATACCTACTATGATCGAAACCAAAAATGCTTTAAATTTGACACAAATATTGAAAGCGGTATATCCAGTCATAGGAAGTAGGACCAAAATATTTAATTCCGGGACGTAATTCTGACAAAGTTTCAACTTGACATGTTCCCGCCAGCTTCACACACACTATTTTTTTTTATATACTTATTCTACCTGAATTTTACTTGATTCTCAACATCTCATAACAATGAATTTTTACGATACTGAAAAGGGGGCGCGGCTAGGGCGGAAATCACTGAACGGAAAGAAATATCTTATATAAGATTCATTATCTTGAAGACATTTCTGAATGAAAAATTTGTACAAATTATTTGGGTCCCGAAATAGTGTCGAAAAACCCAAATACCCAAATATTCGGTATTTAATAATATGACGTTTTTATTTAAAAAAAATTATTTGACAAAAAACTTTAAAAACAAAATTCACTTTTATTTGTATTTTATTAAAATCTTAGGTCAGGTTTAAACTTTATCATGTACCTATTAAAAAAAATAATAAGAGTTAGAAAATGGATTTGAATACATGTATATGAAAAGTTCGTACTTATCCAATTGTTCCCAAAAGTTCATTAAGCAGGCTCTATCCAAATGCCTTTTATTTCTTGAGATATTTAAAACCGTAACGGCCCACCGTGAAACATTTCCATCGAGCTTCATTTCGTCAAATCGTAAATGAAATGCAGCAACTGAAAAAATAATAAACGATTATTGGTTTTTGAAAAATCTATTATTTTTATAATAATTATTATAATAGTAGGTACTTTTTGAAAAAATCTCGACAGGATTCCCATCCCAAGGCCATCCTTTAAACTGCCAAGCTGGACCTAAGACGAAAACAGCTACAACACGGCTCCAATCCTGAGGTGTTAATTTTGAAGGTTGATCAACGATCCTATATGGCACAGTTAGGTTTCCATCTTTTCGTCTTTGTAGTAATATTTCATTCTCACGTTGTAATCCCAAAGCTCTTTTCTCTTCTGTCGTAATGAATCTAAGGTCTTGTAAAATCTCTTTCGCATTGTACATCGTAATTAGACTGTTAGGTGACGAAGGAATAATAATAATGGGCGTTTTTGACTGTCGTTTGTTTTGCAAATTTAAGGGAATCACACGTGCTTGTGCAGTAGGAATTAATTCTTTTGGACGACTGACTGTGGGTAGAGAAGGGACCTGTGGATTCTTTTTTTGCTGAACTATTCCCGATGATGACTTTAATGACATTCCATGATGTGTACCCATTGTATCAATTTTAAATTCCTCTGTTACTTCTTTTTGCTGTATAAATCGTTCTTGATCATAACGATTATATTGAGTCTGTTGCGGTTGATTGGATCGTCCAACTTTATTCAATGGTTCGGGTACTTTTGGAACAAATTGAGGAGCAGGACGAATTTTACCTTCTTCTCGAGCTTTAATTGATTGCAGAAGGGCTGAAATATTTTTTTGAAATGTTTTTCCATTGCTCTGAAGGATTGTAGAACGAGTTCGCCATTGACGTTCACGCTTTAAAATATCTTTAGTAGAATCTACATCAAAATCAAGCATGACACGTAAATCACCGACTCCAGTATCATCTTTGTCAGTTTGTTTTATAGTGACACGCTTATTAGCTAAACGTTTTGCCTTAATAGCAGCAATTTTTTCGACAGACAAAGTTTCCGAAATCGATTTAATATTGTCAATATTAACAGATGCCTCCTTTTTATTGACATCTAAACGAGCAGCTAGTTGTTCCTTAACCTTTTGAACTTGTAGTTCTTCAAATCGAGCCTTTTTTGCAAGACTCTCGTATCCATCGGACTCTGTAGGGCGTTTTACTTGTGTCGGTATTTCTAATGGTGCACTTTTATCAATGCTCACACAAGAAGTAGTTTCTCCATTTAAATATGCTAATAAATCTTTACGATCAGGACGATTAACTGCTGGAATATCTTCAGCCTAAAATATTTAATAAGCAAACAGGAATGTTTATTTAAAAAAAATGAAACACTCATTTTCAAATTATCCTTACAGCCGCTTGCCTAACATACACCGAATGTTGAAGTCCGACATTTTTAAGAATATATAATAAGCATTCTAGTGTGTAATATTCCTTTGGAGCACCTTTCTTTCCAGATCTAAATTATTAATGTTTTTCTAGCTTTTACAATGTTCATTATTTAAGAAATAAATAGAATTGATATTTACCCATATTTTAGGTAGTTTGTTTTCACATTTTTTGACCATGAAAATTCGCCAAATATAATCTGACCGTCTCGTTCAATGATTTCCTTTTTATTTATATTATATTGTCGTAATAAGCTTAATGGATCAGCCATAATCTAATTTCTCTTGGAAACTTATAAACCAATTTCAATTAATATTTTTTCAGTGATACTTTAGATATTTTTTTAACAACAACTTAGTTTAAAGCCCCTTGCATTTTTGTACTAAAATTAATTTAAACTGTACTTAAATTCAAAAACAAAAGGCGGGATATTTTTATCAGCACAATGTTCACAGCAGTTCACAGTATTACTTTAATCATGGCAAGTCAAACACAAGGAATTCAGCAGTTATTAGCTGCTGAAAAACGTGCTGCAGAAAAAGTATCTGATGCCAGAAAACGTAAGATATTAACACAATTATAATTTTCATTAAATGTTATATTTACCCTTGCTATTTATCCTCTAATTTATGTTAAGGCAAACAAAAACGTCTAAAAAAGGCAAAAGAAGAAGCTCAAGAGGAAATTGAAAAGTATAGACAAGCACGAGAAATACAATTCAAAGATTTTGAATCGAAAGTTAGTACTTGTAGCTTTAATTGATGTTCTTTCCTATTAATTGTTTCCATATTTACAGTTTATGGGATCTCGAGAAGATGCTGCAGGAAAAATTGACGCTAAAACAGTTGATAAAATCGAAAGCATGTCAAAAGCACTTAGCTTTAATAAGGATATAGTTATTCGTGATATTCTCTCATTTGTTTACGCCATAAATCCAAAAGTTCATAAAAATTTTCTCCTAAAAATGTTAAATTAAGCATAAATTGTGAATATATATCCTCGCGAATTTTCCTTTAATTACTGTATTCTTGGTTTTCATCCATCAAAAAGCTATAAGGTGTTAAAAGTCTGAGGATGCTCAAATAAAAGAATTTCTTTGAATTTTTTTGTTCTCATTTATTAACTGTAGGTGTACTTTTTAACATTACACGAAAATTGCGTCAACAATGGTTAAATTTAAAAACATTTTTTTTAATTTTTACATCACTGCAAAACTAATTTGCTTATATAAATTTTTGCATAGTTAATTTTTCATTAAAGTTTAAAAAATAATTGTGTTAAAAGCAATACAGTTTTTAAAAATAAAGAAACAAAAACTCAGATTAGCTTATTTTTAACGCGTTTTTGAAAACTTGATTTCGAAAAGAGAGCTCAGTAATTCACTTTGTTTGTTCGTTCGGCAGGGGCAAAAATTGAGATCTGAGATCAACCTATTCTTGAAACGGTGTTTTTACACTATAATTAATGATTTTTTGATTTCTTTTGAGAAACACATGATGATTGTGTTCAGAAATTTGAATTTTATTTTACCGTTATAAAAATTCATTTGAATTCAAAGAAAACGTTTAAAGAAAAATCTTGTATAATTCAACACTTTATTTTGTCAAAATTGATTTATAAATGATATAAACATGGCAAGAAGATTTCAAATTTATGAAACCGTTAAATATTTGAATTTCATATAATCGTTAAAGGACAAAAAAATTAACTGTACCCAATGTTTGTAAAATACAACACGATAGCTTTGCTAAAGGCAAACTTTAAGAGCTATTTGCTTTTTGACTCACATTTTGATGCTAGTCAAATACTGATCGCTGCACTATGGGGCAAAATCAAAAAAAAAAATCAGACATTTACCAATATTTTGGAAAGTTTCAAATTATGACTTCAGGGTATTTTTTTCTAATAGTAGACGTAAAAATAGACTTCTATGCCAAATTGTAAGCCATTTGTTGCTGTTTCTGCGATTTTATGGCTGTTTGAAGTTGAAAATGAGTGAAAATGTGATTTTTTCACTTAATCTTAAAATTCAAAGTAGGCTTTGAAAATTATAGATATTGAAAAACTGTTTTCGATTTCCAATAACTTAACATAAGAGCTTTATTAAACTACACTACAAACCAATAAAATTTTTGATTTTGGTACTCGTATGATAGGAAATGTATGAAAATTCTGCAAAAATTATCTTCGCACACGACGTAGGTGCCTTAGATCGCCGAATAATAGGGGGTAGAATAACATTGGCGTGTAGTCCTTGATTCAAGTTTTTGGCAAAATATTCAACGACCCACTAAAACGCAAATAACTTTCTTATGTAGTCGGTCTAGGGAAAAAGTTTATATAGTTTTAAAAACTGCAAATCAAGGACTACACGCCAATGTTATTCTACCCCCTATTATTCGGCGATCTAAGGCACCTACGTCGTGTGCGAAGATAATTTTTGCAGAATTTTCATACATTTCCTACCATACGAGTACCAAAATCAACAATTTTATGGGTTTGTAGTGTAGTTTAATAAAGCTCTTATATTAAGTTATTGGAAATCGAAAACAGTTTTTCAATAATCTATAATTTCAAATTTCAAAAATCTATAATTTTCAAAGCCTACTTTGAATTTTAAGATTAAGTGAAAAAATCAAAATTTTCACTCATTTTCAACTTCAAACAGCCATAAAATCGCAATAACAGCACCAAATGGCTTAAAATTTGGCATAGAAGTCTATTTTCACGTCTACTATAAGAAAAAAAAATACCCTAGGGGGCCATTCACTTATTACGTAACGCTTTTAGGGGGGAGGGGGGTCTAAGATTTTGTTACGGTTCAAACAAGGAAATTTTTTTTTCACACAAATTTTGTTACGAAGGGGGGGGGGGGTCTAAAAAGTCATTTTTTCGCGTTACGTAATAAGTGAACAGCCCCTAAAGTCATAATTTGAAACTTTCCAAAATATTGGTGAATGTCCGATTTTTTTTTTATTTTGTACCATAACGCGCTGCGTCAAAAATGCGCTGAAGTCCCTTCAATAACACGAGGACTTTTGTAATTTTTTATTAAATTAAAGAATTTTAAATAAATGGAATTGATAACACTGATTTGAATTTTACCATAACATGGGTCCTAATTAATTAGAATTGCAAGATTGACAGCAGTTTTCACTGTAATATTGATATGCACATAGATTTGTTTTTTGTAAAACTACAAAACAATTCGAAAGCTTGTCTTTGCATTGTGGATCATCATTTTGAATCATATCGACACGTGGATTACGTGTTGTAATTTCTTTAAAAAAACGTCGTTATAAAACAAAAATATGCATATTATTACGACTATTTGGTCTTATAATTAGTTAACATTACCTGAACAATTGTGAGTGTTACAGTATCTCATAGATGTAGGTCGTTCCAAATATTTACAACTGTTTGATTCACGTAAAGTCATATCTTTTTTATCAACTTCCAAACACTTGACTGTTCTTTTCTGCATACCATTTCCGCAAGATTTAGAGCACTATTATTTTAAATGTGTTATAACATGAGTTTTTAAAAATAAAATAAAAATAGAAATAATACTTCTGTCCATTCTGAATAGTGCCATTTTGCTCTACAATCTTTTAATTCTTCGATTTTACAATCTTCAAAAGTTGGTGGCTTAGTGCTTAAGTTGCATTCATTCTCTTCCGCAAAACCATCAATTTTAATGCAAATTACAGTTCGGGATCTTGATGCGTTCCAGCAATCTCCAATACATTTAGACCAAGGACCTTAAAAATTTAAAGGAATTAACATATGCGTAGAGGTTTAATAATTTTAAGTTTGACTGATGATTGAGTCATTTACAAAAGGTTTTAAAATCAAATTATGAACATATCCTTTTATTTTATTTTACCTACAAACCACGATCCTTCGATACACTCTGGTGCGTTATTAACACATTCTCTGTAAATATTTGGAGTTAAACGAATATCACATCTTTCCATGTTTGGTGTACTTCTGTCGCAGAAAATGGTCCTAAATTGTTGCCCCATATGATCACATTCGCCTAAACACTCTTCACTCCTGAAAAAACATGTATTTGATGCATAAAATTGCGAAATATATTAATTAATTACCAATCAGATATAAGCCACATTCCAGATTTTTTTGATTTAGGCATTTTTAATTTGTTATTTCGGTTATTAATAATATTTTGGTCGTTTTGTGTATTTTGTTGTAGTATTGAAGAATTTTGGATTGCTTTGGGGTTTTCTGTTTTGCCTTGAAAACTTTTACACTCACAGGATAAAGTGCTTTGTGGACGTTCTTCACTGCAAGCACCAGCATTTACTTGAATTACAACTCCTGAAATCAATTCTTGTACACATTTCACTTCTCGTGATTTAACAGATTTGTTAAAATCTTCGCATTTACAGTTACTCCAATTTGATATTTTCCAAAATGCAGGACATGGATGATTATTGCACTTTATTGAATTTTCATTTGGTGTTAGAGCTTTCAAATGTGCACATTTTTTCTTTGAATATATTTTCAAATTATTATCATCGCCTTTAACACAACGAATTAGTGGATGCTGAACCCCTCCGCCGCAAGATTTATTGCATTCCGTAAAGCCAATAATTTTCCAAAAAAATTTTCTCTTCTTGCGAGTATTAACTTTTAAATCGTTTGATTGTCTATTTACAGCTTTCAATTTTGAATTCATAGCTAAATTTTCTTCCGAATAATCCGAATCAGATTCTTCTGATATGGCAAGATTAATAGGTAACAAATACTCATATTTTACACCAGTATTCTTTTGCTGTGATAACATTAGTAAATGCACTGGTTCATAAAGAGGACCGGAGCTTGTTAACCATTCTGTCACACTATCGTTTCTTAAATCACTCCCCACTAGTTTATTTTTTTCATCAAGTCTAAAATATTCGAACTTTGCTCCACCTATTTTATAAGTTCCAATCGGGGATGACGTGTAGTTGCCATTTATTATGAACTTTGCCTCTGTTGACTTCAAAGCTTTATTTTATTTTGGAATTTTTTTTTGAATTATTATCATAAATTGTATTGTAAATTTTGGACCATACGTACCTAGTAAATTAATACTATCCTCTAATTCTAAAATTGTGATATTTGAAGCTGTTGCTGGTATTGTAGCGATATGATTGTATCCATTTGGAAGAGGGTTTTTACTATATATTTGAGACACAGGTCTACAGATATTGTTGCCACAGCGCACATTTCCAGTATTAATGCTTGATCCAAGAATTACTCCATTTTTAAAAACAACCTTAATAAAATTATAAATGTTCAAATTTAATAGGATTTTTTTTCCAATGAACTATTTAATTTGTTTTTAACTTATTCTATACATGTAAATTTGTAATGTTTCTCAAAAAATAATTTTAATATTATTTTAATTATTGCTCTACTAAGATTTTTGTTGTTTAATAAACTTCTTTAATCACTTACCAAAAGAGCAACAACGTAAAAGGATAGAAAAATCATTATTATTGAAAATTTCACTTTTTAAGATGTAAAATTAAGACAGTAAATGTTTTATTTTCTTTACAATAAGACACACAAATTTAATTCAATTATCGGTTTTGTCATACATTTTATGAAAATTTGATTCAAGTATAATATGAAACTGCTTGAAACAATTCTTCGAAAAATTAGCTTTAAGTCTTTTTATATATATATATATATATATATATATATATATATATATATATATATATATTATTTTTGTGTATGTTAAAAGGTTAAAAGACCAGATGCGTAGATTTAAATAGTCGAAAAAATAATTAAAAATTAAAATTTTCCCATATAACAGCTAACTCAAAACCTTTGTTTTTCATAAATCAAGCTCAATTAACAATATTAAATTTCGTTAACAGAAGGAACTCAAACTATTTTTATTAAATTTTATTTACGACTATAATCAATTGATTTATGAATCTGAATACTTTCAACAGATATTGTTTGTGGCGATACTAAAAATTATGTGTTATATTCGAATGAATATCACAGTTCAACTAAGACGAAAAGCAAAAGCTATAATCATTTGACTCTCATGTGAAGTGATGAAAAAATTTAGAGTTGGAAAATGTGCGTCGAATTAATTTCGGCAAAACGATTGCTTAAAAGCAAGAGCGAAAATGATTTTATTCATGATCGTTTTTTTAATTTTTTTCATAAGTTGAGAATAGTAAGCATTATTAAAGTTATTGAACGTAAAGCATTTCAATTTTGTAATTTTTTTGCTGCTAGACTGATCATTAAAACTATAATTTCTGATTGCGGTTATTCACAAACCCTAATCAAAACACGAAATTACGACGGAGTATTTATGCTGAAAATAAATCCATAAAAATTTTGAAATTTCTTATACAAAAATAGAGAGGTTTTCAAATCTAAATTTGGGGCGATTCTCTATAAGGTAAATTACAAAAATTTTGACTTCAAATGAATTTTTCGAATTTTTCCCATAAACCTAACAAGGTTTTCAGTTTATCTGATGTAATTTTTTATTTCCAATCCATTAATCATAAATTGTCCTATTTATTAAGCTAAATCTAAAGCTCCGTTGCATTGTGACCAAAAATGGAATTTTGTACAAGTTTCAACGGGGTAATCAAAAATTTTATATCAAATCCTCATCTTTGCAGCATTAAATGTACACTTCATGATAGATTAAGATCTGTTCTACAATATTAAAGCTCCAAAGTAATGTAAAAAAAACTTATTTACCGAGAAATATCAAAATTCTTCGAACGTCAAGTTTATGTCAGAAAGCAACGCAAAAGCTTAAATTTTCCTAATCCGTTAGAAAATTACAAAATTTTTGAATCGAAAATCTATTTAAATACGTCCTTTCAAGCTGCAATTTTGACAAATTTCATCATTTATAATAAAAGTGAATTATTTTTGATCATTGTAAACTAATTTAAACTTTCAAATTATTCTAGATTTAAATAAATTACAGAATATTTATTTATGATGCAAGCATAATTTACAATGGATTATAAAATGGGGTCGTTCACTTATGACGTCCGAAATTAACAGTCATTTTTCAAAAAAGATCAATGAATTTCCTGGAATTTCTATTATTCTTTTCTTGCTGACCCCCCCCCCCTGGACGTCATAAGTGAACGGCCCCAAAGCTCATTTTGAAAAATTCTTTTGATCTGGATAATCACACATTTTGTTAACTTTCTTTTTTGATTTAAGTGATATGTGAATTGACGAGGAATGATAATCTGTTAAAGTATGAATATGTTGAAAAAGGTAAAATTGCATAATCAAATTCAATTAAAGGAAAAAGTAAATTAAGTTCTTATATGTAAAAAACAATAGCTATTATGACAAGTTTGTTTCAATAAAAACTATAATTATATAAAAATAACAGGAAACTTTGGTTTTTAAAAATTCGTAAAAAAGCAGGGACCAAAATGAATGAAAAAAATCTGTGATGAAAAACATCATTATTTTTGATGATGAAAAAAATTATGATTTTTTTCATTTATGTAAACTATTACGTAAAATTTCATCACGTAAGAATCATTTTTACGTAGGATTGCATCACGTAAAGCGAAAATGCAATAAAATCACACCAAATGAATTAATAAGATTTAAGACAAATGATATTAATAGATAATGAATAAAAACATAGTGTCACTCGCATGCAATTTAATTGTGACGAGGCCCTACACCGACTCAAATCACCAATTCAAAGTCTTTAATAGGAAAAATTGATAAAATTTCGATTTTTTTGCTGAAAATTTTTCAATAAGTTTGAAGCAAAAAGATTTATATAGATCAGTGGTTGAATTTAGTGCAAAAAAATGCTTAAAACTGAGTTTCAGTAGGGTTTCGTGTTTTTTTTGCGGTTTTCATGCAAACTCTTATAAATACACGAAAACTTTTTCAAAAAATTTAAAATTAACATTATTAAAATACAGATTATCAGTTTTTTGAATAACTCGAATAAAAAAGCTTTTTCAGCCATAAGAAATATCGTATTTTAAAGGCATTGCAATAGGGGAAATCGAATATTAACAATTTAAAATTATTTTTTGACTGATTTTTCTACTAAAAGATGTCATGTTTTCAGTTTTTCTAATGTATTTTTCTATTATATATCTGTTGACTTATTGTAAAAACAATTAATTAGTTTAGCTCTTGAGATATTTTGATTCATCGATAAAATACTCCGTGACCGAAAATGGAATTTTACAAAAATTTCAATAGGGGAATCAATATTTATCCATTAAATTCTCATGTTTGCATCATGAAATGCAAATCAAATGATTGAGTATTATCAGTTCTATAATATTTGTTCTTCGAATCTTAGGAAAATAGCTTATTTAAAGAGAAAAATTGATTCTCCGAACTTCAACTTTATGACACGGAGCATTTTTAAGCTTTTATTTTCTCGACCCGCGAAAAAATATCAAAATATCACATCACTAATTTCAAATACTACTGTTATCTTTGATTATTATGGACATCATAAGGCTGTTTTGGGTTTTAAAGACAAATGTATTTATAAGATTTTTTACAAAAATATTTTTATCATCTAAACACGAATAACCTTGTATTGAAAAAGCTTATTTTTCAAAATTCCACCATTCTGGAGAATTGCCCGTTTGCTATATTAATGTTTTTGAATTTTTTTATTAAAAATGCTTTCTTAAAAAAAAGTAAAATTTTTTTTCGAGTTGAACATTTTCTTAAAATTTTTGCTTATAAACTTAATTATAAAAAAAAGATTTATATTTTCTGAAAGAACAAACGAATAGCATCAAAATGATATATAAAACATAAAGTATTGGTTCAAGATTGAAAAGTTCTTGAGCAAAGAATAAAACTGCAAATCGGTAATGAAAAAACAAAAAATAAAAACTTAATAATTTATCAGAAAATAAACAAAAACTGGTTTCACTAAAATTTACAAACTGCAAGTAATTTTGAAAATTTTGGATTTTTTTCGCTAGGATTTCATTGAACTTTTTCTGAACCTTTTCTTTGATTTTTTTCTAATTTTCAGTTTTTGAATGTTTTTCACTATATTTTGTATCAAAACCATAAACCGCGGTTTTTGGACTTTAAAACTGCAGTTTTTAAAAACCGCAAATTCGACACAAAAAGTGCGGTTTTGCGATTTTCCAAAAACCGCAACCAGAACCCTAAGTTTCACGAATTCCTTTTCTATTAATAAGATATTTTCATTTTCTTCTGTTGAAGTTTTTCATTTGTCTTAAAGGAAGTAATCATTTAATAGATTCAATTATACATAGTTTTTGCAACGATGTTTGTTAATAAATATTCTTCTGTTTGCTCAATTTTTATTGCTTTTATATAAATGAATACAAAAACAGATGCTCTTTTGATATTTTCGTTCGATATAGACCGATATAGATTAATACATATGTTTTAGTGCTGTAATTTGTCTGACACATATATATAAGTTCCCTCTTCTCTGTTCCCTTGCATTAACATGATTTGCATTACATGGAATCACTATAAAACTAACTGAAAGTTGATTTGTTTGATTTATTTGTTTCATTTGTTCAGTTATTTATTTATGGAAAAATTTACGAAAGCACTTTTTGCTAAAAAAAAAAATTTGTAAAATCCTCAATAATTACTTGCTTTGGTGTGGATGGTTCTTTTAATTTAATCTTGTAAAGAATCCTAAATATAATCATTATGAAGATATAAAAAACTCTTATATTTCCTTAGTTAATGAGTTTTTCCAATTTAAATAGCTTTTCGCTGTCAACTTAATCAAAGTTGAATTTTAAATTTATATAATTTTTTATTATGCTAAGTATTTTAAAGAGTTCAAAAATTAGTTGTAATTCTTTTCGAAGTTGATGGTTCAAATTGTTTAAAAATGTTTTTTAACTCAGTGTTAGCTTGATGAAAACTATTTTAATAACCACATTATCATCTATAATATTAACACCCAATTCACTGACTCTAGAACAGAAGCCGTGTAAAGCCATTTGTGAAGTCGTGCGAAGCCAATAAATTGAGGAGTGTTGGCAAGGGTGATGTCAGGTGGTGGTGGGTGTCAGCTAGGGGTAAGTGTCAGATTTGGAGTAAGGTGGGTCCGAGTTTGAGGGGGTTTGTGAAGCAATGTGAAGCCATTTATAAAGTTTTTGTGGGATTAAGGGGGTCCGAGTTTGAGGAGGTTTGTGAAGTCATGTGAAGTTTTGTGGTAGGATTGATCAAATTCAAATTTAAACACTGATAACGGGCGCAACGAGCGCCCCCGAATAGCCTAGTCGTAATCTGCACAAAAATCCAAATATTTCGTTACAATTGTTAGGTATTCAAATTGGTTTTGACCTACGAGCTGAGCAAAGCTCAGCTAATCCATCAAGCTTTAAACCTTGAAACATAAGCTGAGCGAAGCTAGATCTATCCACAAGACTTTCGATGGTATGATGTGAAGTGCGAATGTATCCGCATTGGGTTTCTACCCTATACACTAGCTTCAAAAATTAATTGATTTAAATACTTATATGAAATATTTTTTTAATTCATTTAGTTCACTCTTCAAAAAAAATTCTTCTTTTGATGAAACAAAGAATATTTGTTATTTCCTCCAAAAATTAGACATTATTTACTGGTTTGCAAATTTGTGTCCAAATTGTGCCGTGGCTCGAAACAAATTGGCGATCTTTATAACTTTTTTTACTAACCTTACATAATCCTTCAATGCACACAGCTTTATCATAATTTTCTAGCTTATTTTGATCAAACTGTAGTATGTTACATTCTGTTCCATCAATTACACGTTCTTTTAACCGTGCATAATATTTTTGATTGAAAGGTTTACAATTTAATTCACACTCAGCTCCATCTAAAATTAAAAATCATTAATATTATTCAATCTAGAGATACTAGTGTCTTAAAATTAATTTATTAATCAAAGGATTTAAGTATTGGTAACACACATAGGCGGTAACATGTATTGAAACAGACAAAAATATTGTATTAATTGTATCCCAGTGTCTTCCAATTCCAAGTTTTAATTTTTTGATTCATGGCACATTTTTAATTACCTAAGCGTAAATAATAATTTACAAAAAAAAATTAAATTATCTAACAGTCAACATTTCAAATTTTGCCGTCTTTTATGAAAAATTAATAATTTAAAAGTGTAGCGACTTGATATGTTTAAGAACCACTGCTTTATATAATAATTTTTTAAACATGTTTTTTAAATTAAATTTAAAACAGAAAACTTTCATATATCAAACCTTTTACATATGGTTCCCACTCGTAATGTTTTCCTCTGTATGATTGATTGTTAAACTCACTACATTGTTGTTTTCGAAAATCAAGCACGTGTGAGCATTTCTTTTGAGAAAAAAGAGCAAATAATTTTTTCATACCACATTCGTTTCAAAATGGTTTCATTACCTTTTCATTACAAATACGATATCGTTTGTATAATCCAATGCATTCATTCAAATGAATGACTGTTGTATTATTTTTTTTGCCTCCTTGATATCTGTAAAATATATGCATTTAATTTAATGTTTTAAAATTTAAACTTTAAAATAATCAAATCAAACTTCTTTTGAAGTAAGTGAATAATATGAAACATAAACTAAAGCAAATTTTAAAATTCAATAAAAACAATTCAACTTTATTTAATCTGAATTTTATCGCATTTGAAAGATCAATTTTTTTTTCTTTAAAAAATTTTCAATTAAAACATGTTTAATTTTTTAAAATTGCAAAACAAAACTTTACATTACAAAATTTTTAGTCATTTCATTATGTTTCAACTTTAATAGTCGTTGATATCAAGACACTTAAAGACTTGAAATCTCTTGAAATATTGAATAAGTACTATATTTATGATCTACACTCATAAAAAAAAATTGATAAATTTTATTAAAAATGTATGAAAAAGTTTAATAAAAGTTTATAAAAATACATCTTGATAACTTTTACTAAAATTTGATAAGGGTTATTAAAAGTTTTGGTTTTACAAAATTGCATTCAAATTTTACAAAACCGTTAAAATTTTAATAATTTTCTTACTAAACTTTAGTAAAAAGTTATTAAGATGTATTTTTTATAATTTTTATTAAATTTGTTCATGGATTTTAGTAAAAAGTCATTAAAATTTCTTGGATTATTTTTTTTACAAAAACAGCTTTATAGTATAATTAATTTATAGTATGGAGCTTTTTCAAGTCTTAACTAAAATGCTTTCTCAAAGCTTAAGACTTTGCATGATTTTTGGCACTTAATGTGCCTCATAAGAAATTTATAATTTTATATGACTTTGTATGAGAACGAAGACATTCTTTTGTATAAGTCATTTCTTGGAGCGTTTGTGAAGTATATAAAATGTATGAAAACCTTACAATTTTGGAAACCTACAACAGTTTTACAACGCTGTAGAATTTTAAAAACTTTTATTAAAATTTGATAAGTTTTATTAAAAGTTTGATAAGGTTTACTAAAATTTTAATAATTCTCATTAAAAACTTTTTAATAAGATTTTAGTAACAACTTATTAAAAATATTTTTATGAGTGTAGCTTAACTCTGGAAATGCTTTAAAATTTGAAGTTACTACGAAAATATTTTTTTTTTCTGTTTGTTTTGAAGATTTTATAAAAACAATAAATATATTGTTCTTTTCTTCGAATTGAATAACTTATGTTTAAAATTAAATAATATTTTATTTATATTAGGGCTTGGTCGTTTGTTTTGGGAGTGTCAGAAACAAAATGTTTTCCCTGTTTTTCTCTTTTCCTTGGAACTCTTTTCAACCCTTGGAACCATAAAATGTCGTCGGTTCCATATTCAGGAACAATCACTGTGTCTACTTGCGAAATTTCAGCTCATAAAGTCAAAAAAGTTCAAAGTTATCGCAAAAATAAATTTTACATAGGTTTTCAACCCTGGCGTTGGTTCCATATTCACGAACAACAACTGCACCTCCATGACAAATTTCAGCTCAAATGAACAAAAGATGCAAGAGTTATGACAAAAATGTTAAAATTGTATGAAAATGTATGGAAAAAATAATAAAACTCCGTGAAAAACTCGGAAAATGCATGGAAAAATTTGAAAATGGAAAATTTCACCATAAAACATCATTATTTATCAAAAAAGTGTAAAATAGAATAAAAAAAAATGCTCGTTGTGAGGCTTGAACCAGCGGTCTAAGGATTGTAAAATGTTTGAATTGGGCAATTCCAAAGATGAGTGAAATTTTGGGAAAAAGAAAGTGCGTCCAGCCAAGGAAGTAAGTAAGTAAGTAAAGTATACAGAACCAGGGGCGTAGCCAGAAAATTTTTAAGGGGGGGGGCCCATTTGCGAAAATTAAAAAACCCGTTATTTTGTATCCTTAAATCTATATTCATTGTTCATAAGTTTAAGTATTTAATTCATTATTCATACATTAAATTTAATTTTTCGTGCTGATTTTGACATTTCTTTCATCACTTTCTCTACATTAACTGGTTCTTCTCTATAAATACTTAATAAAACAATTATCAGATTTTCGTAGGGGGGGCCCGGGCCCCCTATGGCCCCCCCCTGGCTACGCCCCTGTACAGAACCATAATAAAAGTCAGAATCTACAAGAAAACAACATCAGTAGCGAAAAAAATTCTAATTTCAAATCGGAATTCGATATTTTGAAATAATGCAACGCTCAAGAAAAACCAAATATTTCCTTAATTAAGCATATAGAACACAGCAATAGTATCAAAAGAAAGATCTCGGCGCTTTACATAAGTTTGCATAGTCGTTGGAACGTCTAAATTGCTTAATTATAAGAAAAATGGTCTCAAATACGAAATTTTTGAAAAAAATCCATGTGTGGAATTGCCCATTTATACTATAATTAGTGATTTTCTATATTTTTTTAAAGATTTTCAAAACTGCAGTTTTTTTTAAAAATTACAGAAGTCCTCGTGTTATTGATCAAGGAACTTAAGCGCATTTTTGTGGCTGCGATCAGTATTTGATCTGTATTATTTTACGTTCATTTACAGATCAGTAGAAGATCAGAATATCATTAATTTTAGCGTAATCAACAAATAATTATAATGAATGCTTATAAAGAAAGGCTTTATCATTTAACGGTTTTTTGAGATTCAAATTTTCTAACGGTAAGTAAGTTTTTAAAAGCTTTCCGCCAAAAGATACACAAAAAATCATTAATTATAGTACATTTAACAATTTAATATCTTTAATTTTCATGTATAAATTGTTTATCATTTAACGGTTTTCTGAAGTTCAAATTTTGTAACGGTCGCATGCATTTGAAAGTATCTTGCCAAAAGTTACAGTAAAAGCATTAATTATAGTATTAATAACAGTCTGTTGCAAAAAATAATTCATATGAAAACGCTTGGTAATTTAACGGTTTTTTGAGATTCAAAATTTTTTAACGGTAGAAATAAATTCGAATTTCTAAACGCTCTCATCACTCGTTTTTTCATATGAAATATAAAAATCATTAATTATTGTACAAAAACACTGTTACAAGACTTTTAAATGCGTTTCCTGAAAATAAAACAATGGACCTGAGCTAATAAAACAAACTAGAACTTTCTACGATGTCTAGTTAAAAAGTTTTTCTCCGCCCGAACGAACAAACAAAGTGAGATATTAAGCTACCTTTTCGAAACAAGTTCCAAAAATGCGCTAAAAACGCAAATTTAATTCTAAACGTGCAATTTTGCGGTTTTCTGAAAACTGCAACAAGAAACTATAGTGGATTTAATAATTCAAATATTTCTGCGAGTTATTGCTTTCAAATATCAAAAAGAAAAACTTTTTAATCTAAATTATTTTCTTTTTTTTGCAAAATTTTTTGATTTAAAATCAAAATTTATTCATTCATTCAAAATTTAAAATCAAAAGTTTTATTTTGCAATGAAAATCTAAAATTTTGTTTTGTTTTCAATTTAAAAATTTCTTTAAAAATGGGAAATGCGCTTTTTACGTCGGTTTACATCTATTTTCATTTCTTCTATACTAGTTTAATACAAAAATGCGCTGAAGTCTCTTGATTAATTAAGCGAGGACTTGTAAATTTTTTTAATTAAATAGATGGCCAGACAAAATCGAAGATTAGTCTACCATGTGTGACTAGTTGATGATGTCAAAAAATTGAACCGTTTGTTGTTTGATGCGATTCTGAATAAATTTTAACCATAACTTTTAATTTGTTAAAATGAACTTTAAATCTAGGATATAGATGCAATTAAAATTAATAGCTTATGACAAGCATATAATTTATATGGTTGATTCATCTAATTTATTTCGAAATTGAAAATATTTATTCGTTTTTACTTGTTTGGTTAAGAATTTTTTTAAATCTAGTTCATATTACTTTTATCAATTTTCCAAGTATTCTCTAAGTTTTTTTTGTAAAAAGTTAAATTTACAGAAAAGACGCAAAAAACTTAATTTTTTTGATATAAAAATGATTCTCATCAATTCTTTTGATTATTTTAATCAAAAAGCTGAATTGGAGAGAATTTTTTTACACATTTCATATTTCGATTTTTTTCCAGAACAATGCTAAATACTTAAAAATATACACCCGTCTGAATTTTACCATGATTCAACAATTTATTTTTTTATATAAATTGAATTTATAACGTTGTTATAATAGCAAAAAAAAATAATAATTTTTTATAATGCTAAAGTGTAGGGTTTTTAATACCGGTATAATGGTACTGAAAATTCCCAATTCCGTAATACCGGTTATGGAAATTTAAGAGCAATTCCATGAAATAGTTTCATTGTTTACATTTGAGTTTGATCCAAGTCTATTAAGTAAGAAATATTATTTTTCAAATATTTCTTTGTACTCTTATTTTCTTAATGTTTTACTCAACTTAAACTATTTTTCATCCTAAAATGAGTAATTCTAATTAGTTGAACATTACTTTAATGAAAGAAACATTGAAAAACTAGAATTTTAAAATTTTGAATTCTGTATTTTTTCACGGAATAAATCTCTCCGTTACTTAGTAACATCTTTTTAAGTCACATACCCGAATAGACAAAGAGCACGCTATGAGCGCGCTCAAATTTAGTGCTGAGCATGCTCGCGTGAGCGTGCTCTTTCATACGAAAAGTGATGCCACTACTTTACGCTAATGAGCACGTTTTTTGAGCACGCTCTGAGCACGTTATTTTAACAAATTTTGAGCATGCTCAAATTGTTGTGTGACATGCAACATTTTTTATGTCATATGATGTGACATTTGAGTACACTCAGTGAGTGTGCTCGTGAGTGTACTCTGAGCATGCTCACTGAGTGTACTCACATCATTTTATAATTTTCAAAAAAATTAAATTTTGAAATTATTTTTTTGATATATTTTACTGTTGTAGAGTTTTTTAATGTTCTAGAATAAATTTTGTTCATTAATAATCTGAAAAAAACACTTAAGAAAATTTTGGATTTTACCTGGATTCGAACTCACGACCGCTCTGTTGCTAAGACCATTACCATAACCATTACACCACTGCTGCAATTTACCTTCATAATTTATTATGGCAAAAACTCATATATAAACTATAACAAAGTTTAATACTTCGAAATTGATCTCAAAATGTTTTTAAACAATGTTTATAGTTAAAAAGTAGATAACTATATATAATTCTAGAAACTTTGACTTGTGAAGTATATACAAAATCATGAGCATACTCAGAGTATGCTCAATAAATGTGCTCTTGAGCACGCTCAATAAAATGTGAAATCTTTAAAAAAAATGTTTTTTTAGAGTACATTCACAATGTGCTCACGAGTATGCTTAAGAGTGAGCATGCTTAAATTTGAGAATTGAGTATGCTCATGAGCATGCTCAATAAAATGTGAAATATTATAAAAATTGTTTTTTTTGTGAGCATATTCACAATGTGCTCACGAGTATGCTTAAGAGTGTACTCAAGTGAGCATGCTTAGATTTAGGAATTGAGTATGCTCTCGAGCATGCTCAATAAAATAAAAAATTTCAAAAAATTTGTTTTTTTGTGAGCATATTCACAATGTGCTCACAAGCATGTTCAACTGAGTGTGCTCAGGTGAGCACGTTAAATGATGATTTTGAGCATGCTCATTAACGTGCTCACAAAAGTGAGCACGCTCTTTGTCTATTCGGGATAGAAATTAAAATTGTAGCTTAATTAAGCACTTTTGAGTTAATTTAATGCTAGATTTTGGTAGCTTGATAATCAATCTTTGAGTTGTGACAGTCTTTATTATTAACAAACTGCGAAAAGGAAAGAAAAATCGCTTTAAGTGAGTCTCCAAATTATTTTTTCTTCGATTGTGTTACTAAGTAACGCCAAAAGAATTGAAATAATTCTTTAATTAACCACTATAAGTAAGCAAATTTCAGTCAATTAAATAGAAAATGATGTTTTAAATGACCTACGAAAAGCTTATTTGCAGTAGAATGATCTAAAGATGTAAAAATCAATTTGGAGAAAATTTTTAGACAAATCGTTTCATGGAATTGCCCTTAAACAAAAATGCTATTTTAAGTCACAAAATTAGCGCAAAAAACCGATTTAAACCTTTCTCGGTTAAATAACTCAAGCATACGAAAAAAATTACACTTATCTTGAAAAATTTAAAAAATATGAAAAATACTTTATGGTCCTTGTTATACCATATCTCAAAAATTACAACTGACCTCAATATCAAATAATCATGTATCCAATAGATTCATTTTTATCGAAAATAAAATGAATTTAAAAGTATGGACGAAGCAAATATTTAAGATTTTCTTATGATGTTTTTTTTTAATCCAAAGCGATTTTTTGATTTCGACTATAATCTTGGATTTGTCAGAAGTTTTTAGACCAAAAATCTGAAAATGTCCCTGGGGCCGTTCACTTATGACGTCCGACATTTAGGGAGGGAGGGGGGTCTAGGATTTTGTGACAGTTCAAACAATGGAAATTTTTTTCTATAGAATTTTTGTGACAGAGGGCGGGAGTGGGTCCTAAAAATCAGGTTTTTTGATGGACGTCATAAGTGAACGACCCCTTTTCCTTATATTTATCTTGTACAAAAACTACAAGATTCTCCCTTAAACAACTCTAAAATCACCTAAAATTTTATTGAAATTTCGATTCACATGCGAGTCAGTAAGTAAATAACTCCAATAGTATGCCTTTAGCGAAGCATCTTCGTTGTATTTTAAAAACATTGAACACTAGGTACAGTCAAAAGTTTTTTGTACTCTAACGTTTTTTTTTTAAATTCAAATTTTATAACGGTTATAAACAAATTTGAATTTCTAAACGAACTCATCGTTCTCATTACTCATAACTCATCACTATAGTATGAATACATGTTTTTAAGTCTTTTTGCCGATAAATCGATAGGAAAGGAGCTAAGAAAACAAACCAGAGTTTTCCGATATCTGGTGAAAAAAATTTTGATCGCGTCCTTCCGAAAGAACTTATTAAGTTACCTTTTAGAAACCAGTTTTCAATATTTTTAAGAATTCTGTAAATCAAAAATTCAAATTTTTTTTAAAAAAATTAACTTCATTTTTATCCGTATACTGTAATAACGGTATAACAAAAATTCCCAGTTCCGGTTTTAACATATTTTCGAAATACCTGAATTTCGATGCCGGTGTTAAAAACCTTACTACAGAGATGTCGTAAAATGTGTCTTATCAACGGAAATGAGTATCTTGTCATTTCAAGCTTTAAAAAATACAGTTAAGTAAAAAGCTAAAAACTTTGTTCTTGAATAAATTATTATGTAGCTATATTTACAGCTATGTATTCTTATCTCCATGCAGTATCGGCTAGAGTTTAATGTTTTTAAAAAAAATCTATATACTTTTTAAATTATTTAAAGTTTTCATTAAATTTTTTTAAGGAAATATTGAATATTAATTATAAATATTATAATTGTATACTTACGTTTTAAGTACACATTCCCGTGATTGTGATTTAATTCCATCATCACATGTTCTACTGCAAGCACTCCAAGAACTCCATTTCGACCATGTTTTATGAATTGTCGTATTATTTGAATTGTATTTTACATGCTCGTTTAAGAATTTTTGTATTTCAAAATCATTATTTGAATTGTTCAAATGCTTCTCAGAAATCTTAAGTGAATTCTTTCTATTAGGTTTGTTACCATTATTATTTATGTCAACATCAACTTTTTTATTAACGACTTGTTCTTTTTCGATAAGATTTGTATTTGTTCTTGAATTTATATCATTATATTTTTGTTTTTTAATGGTTTCATTAACGATGCTTATATCATGCTCCGTAAATTCATTAGAAGCATTTTCTTGCAAATATGTTTCATTGTTGTTTAATTTTATATGTGTTTCTCCATTGTTTTTAATTATGTCGTAAGAAAATTTACTTCCTGAATCGTTTGATGCTGAACTGACAATTTTGTTTTCTGGAATATTCGTATTAATTTTTCCAGTTTCAGATTGAGGAACAAAAAAAACTTCATTTTCTGTTTCATTTTTGTTTTTGAATTTTATCAATTTCTTAAAGTATTTAATTTTTTGATATGGATCATTAGTTTCTACATAGCCCATAAGTTGCCTCTCAACGGTCCTTTGATTTAACCATGCTCTATGTTTCTGAAAAATGTCATATACTATCACTGTTATTTATGCTCTATTGTTATTAGGATTATATACCTGAATTCTATCTTTAGTACTTTCTTCTGCATTTGCAAAATAAATTGCAATAATTAAAGTCAAAATAATCGCCGTTTGAGAAATTCTGTAAAAAAGTATAAAATTTTAGACAAAGAAAAAAAATATATTTTTATCAAGACACTGTAGGATTTTAAACTTGATTATTAAGGAAGTAATATTTTTAAAAAAAATTTGATTCAATTTATATATATGTATATATATAATATATATTTATATTCCTCAAAAAATTGTTTCCATTCCTAATTTGTTTTCTTTTAGACAATGAAGGTGTTATTCATTTAATGTGTATATTGTTATTAAGACAACAAAAATGATAATTTTATCAGAAGAAGAAAGATTTTGAAAGTATAGTCTTGATTTCATATGTTTGAACAGTGATAAAAGAGTAAAATTTTGTAGTCATTAAACAATATGTAAAGCTCAAAGCTGGTTTGGAAACGTTGAATAACGTTTATTAACTGAATTGTGTGTACTATAGTATATTTAAAAATCAAACTTACCTAAACGCATGACAAGCCATTGTAAATGCCATTCAAGAAAAATACTTTTATTTTATTTTATGCTATTGTACTGTATTTGCCCACGTGAAATGTTCAAAATAATTTTCAAACTTCAAAAAGCAATAAAGAAACTACTATTTGGTACATACTAAAATTGTAACACATAAAACATATCTAACAAACATTTTTCATTTATATTTTTTTAAAATTGTTTAAACAACTTATATGCTCAAAATATTTAAGATTCACTTGAATCTGTTTGTTGAAATAGATTGACAAATAAAAAATAATACAAAATAAAAAACACTCCTATTTCATGATCTAATTTAAACGATTCATTAGTTTGATAATCGTTGATGCGTTTGATTTTTCTATGATACCAAAACTTTAAAACAATTATATTTTAAAGTGGTAAATAAATATTATGCTTTATATTTTCTAACAAATCATATTTTTTGCAGTATATATATATTTTTTTTAAAAACTAAGTACTGTTCTCTTATCTATTCAGATATATTTTATATTTCGTATATATATGAAGGTTTTTTTAGCACTATTGCCTTATACCGATTAGAATGAACTTCAAAATAATACTGGCAAGACGAACATAAAATAATTATAATGAATCACATAATTCTACATCATAACTGATTTTTTTTTAAAAAAGCTTATTTTCTACTTTTTAAAAACTTAAATATCTAAAAGATGTCGCTGGCGCTGAATACATTTTTTATATGTTTTGAAAATTTAATTATTGGAGAGTTAAAAAAATTTGGAGACAACATTTTACATTTTAATTAGTAATAATTTATATTTAACAAATTTTAATATTTGAACTTACCAAATATAATTGAAAGTTTGCAAAATTTTGATTTTAACATATTTATTCCAAATAAAATCTATACTCTCATTTACTTTATATTTTCATGCAGGAGTTGAAGTCAATTAAGATTTTTTCGACTTTTCTAACTTTGACAAATTTTTTCAAAAATTCTTAATCGAAAAAATTTTCAGCAATATTTTTAAAGAAAACTTTAGTTGAAAAATTGTTGTGAAAAATTTTTGCTCATTCTTCGTTTGAAAAAATAATTGTGCATAAAAAATTTGAGCTCGATTGGAGCATTAGAAGTGATCGAAATAACGATTACAAAATTTGGCGCATGAAACATACAAACAGTGTGATTTAAATAAAAGCGTGTAAAATTTCATGGCAAATTTCGATCGAAAGTGAAAAATTTTCATTGAAAATTCAACGAAATTCTAAACTTATTTTTTTTTCTGAATATTAAAACTGGTCAAAACGGAAGTGAATAAACACTTTGAAGGGCAATTCTTGAATAACTTCTGAAAATTTTCAGCAAAAAATCGAAATTTTATTAATTTTAATATCACACCCATCAGAGACACTGATTTTATGATTATTATCGATGTAAACATTTTAAATGTACAATACTTTTGATATCATATACTTCTAATCGCTGTAATAATTAAGAAATTTTGTTTTTTTAGTCAATATTAATAATAAATCGATGACAGAAATCGGAATTTTCAATTTTCATCATCCGTAGAATTAGAGAAAACTATTGATATTAGTGTTAAATAACAACTACTGAGTTATAAAACAGACAAAATTCTAAAAATTGGTTGCTTTTATGTATGCATTAAGTCATTATTTAATGAAATATTTAATTTCTTTTGTTGTGTCCTCGACTTATTAAAAAGCTTTTTTTTTGTCGTAATCCGTGAAAAAATACAAAAATTTCAAACATATTTTTCAATTTTTCACTTAATTTGATTGAGTTTTGACATGCTTATAGATCATTTATAAAGAATTAACTATGCTTTATGATCTACGAAAGTTTTGGCTTATTATTCCTTCACAGGAATATGAAATTAAAGAAAACATTTTATTAACACAGAACTCATTGACATTTAATTGATTTATAATTTTTAAGAAGGCCAGCACCAGCGGCTATTACAACTCAATTATTTGAAATAATTCATTGATGATGATCGATTCGTTGACATCCAAAATTATTTGATTAATAGTTAAGAGCCTTATAGGTTAAGCAGTTAAGTGCCTTGCTGGTCGAATAGGTAAGGCGCTTGGCTCAAATTTGGGATGGTAACTCGAAGGTCGTCGGTTCGAATCCAGCCATTTCCAAATTTGTTCTTTTTCGGAAGTTTAGATACTTCGACTACGGTACGAGATCAAGCCATAATTGGGCATTTGGGCAACGTTGGATTGAGGAACGGGTCAGGAACTTAGAGTGTAGCGGGAGAAACAGGAACGAGAGCTACAAGATTATCCACGAATGGAATATTGTTAGAACGGACCTGAAAAGTATCAAGTCACGCCTACAGAAGATCGAAACGAGAGTCTTAGTTTATTTGAAACCTAGATTTGAAGATTAGAAGTTTGATCCTACATAATATTAATTCATATGTATACAAATACAAAAGTGTAAAATGTGAATTATTACCGGACAGTAGGTCGTCAATAAATGCAATAAAGTGCAATTAAAATGAAAAAAAAAAACGATTGCATATTTGAAACTCTGCACAATTGCATTGACACAGGGTATATCAATGCAAAGACCCTAGCCAGAATTTGCATGTCTCAAATAATACAAACCGAGTTTGTCATGACTAAAACAGCGAAAAAAGCACTCGGGCAAGATCAGAAAAAAAGGGAAAAAAACTTTATATGCTGATTCCTCTGCTTGCCAGCATCCAATTTTAATGATTTTTTCACAGGTCGATAGTTAATTTCAGAAAGTTTAACTTTTTGTTTTATTTTTTAAAATGGCGACTTTACAAGTTACTTTAATTAACAAATTAATATTTAAAGTAGAGTTTTTCATATGAAGGAATCAAGTTGGTTGTTCAAAGTCTTCACAAAAGTTGTAGATTTTGATATTTTCTATCAAAACATCGTATTGTGACTTCAAAAAACTGAATAGATTAAGTTAATTTAACTAAAACTCAATTTGTTGAAAAAATCGCTTTTTAACCGAAAATATTAACTCTAATTGACTGAAAACTATTAATAAGTATCTAAAAAGTCATTTTCTATAGAAATTATATCTATAAAAGGCTTTAAAATGAGTTAAATTAACTCAAAAACATTGCAATTTTAATTGAGCAACATGTTTTGCTCAATTTCGCTCAGAATTTCATAAGAATTTTGAATTTTTTAAAACCGTTACAATTTTCTTGGTTAATCTTTTTAACATTTTATGATTTTCAAGGCTTTCCATAAAAACTTTTTTTTTTCTTTTGCAACAAGATGCATCTTATGTTTTGCTATAGTTTTACATTTAAAAATCATTAGAACAATAAAACAGCAAAAAGTTGTATCTGGTTTTCAAAAATTCATTGTAACTTTGTTAAGGGGCCCGTCAAAAATGAATTCTACGTCATCGGAGACCACTTTTAGTCATTTTTTGTGATTTTTTTCCATGAAACTGTATTTTGTTCTTAATTGGTATTATAGAATTCGCCGAGACGAAGAGTTTGAAACCATTATCATTTTCCTAGCATGCCTGGTTCCTTCTGTAGAGCCATTCGAATACCCACCGATGACGTAGAATTTTCGGGAAAGGGTATTTTGAGTGTAAACAACCTTTAATAACTTCTTTATTCCCAGCTTAAATTTTAGTTTTTCTGTACCAAATTGTGCTATTTCTTCTATTTGTTCATTCAAATTATCATCTTTATCAATACAATGATTGGAAGTTACTTAAATTAACACTTTAAGTTTCAAAATCTTGTAACGAATATCATTTTTTTGAATTTTCTTGTATGTTTTTGGTCAACAAAAAAATTTTATTTTTTCGAAAATTGCTGAAAACATAATTAAAACGTAATACAGCTCATATTTAAAAGTCGATAGTATGTTTCTAAGGTTCTATTTTGTGTTTTAAAAGAGCCAAAGTTACAAATTCACGAGTATTAATTAGATTTTCAGCTGATTAAAGTTTTGGTAATTTTGCTCGAAAATATGTGAAATTTTTGAATTTTATTAAACCGTTACACTGAAATTCCTATTATTTTTGACGGGCCCCTTAATTAAAGTAGAACTTGAAATTTTTTTCAATAAGCTTAAGGAAAACCATATTTGCTACCTTTTTTTGTCAACACAGCTAGTTCCTAAACTATTTCCTTCATATGGAATTTTCAACCAAAACATTTAAAACGTTAATTAAGCTAACTTATGAAGCCGCAATTTTAAATTTTTTGGTCTAAACATTTACTGCCACGAAGAATTCTTAAGATTGGTTTATTAGTTGCAGAGATATTGCATATGCAACATAGTGTAAAATCGAATTTCCTTAAAATTGTTCGTGACGCTTAGCACTTTAAATTAATTTTTTAACTATAGCACAATGTCAAAATGCCACTTGTTATATACCAAAATGCAGGTCCTGGCGAGAGCTTTTAGAAAAACATAAGCTGATCAGCATTATTTGCATTAAGGATTTAAAAATTTTAAATTATTGCTCAGCGTCACGAACAATTCATTTTTGATCTTGCCCACTCAAATCCGACTAGACATTATCTGGGATCGAACACGTGTCGTTAGGGTTGGTTGGCCAACACTACCTATTCTTGAAATTTTTAATAATTTTCCACGGCATGTCCTACGGCACACAGTTTGGACAACACTGACTTAGTGTGTCGCGAAAAAATTAACGTGATAAAATGTGCCGTGGACCAAAATAGGTTTGATAAACACATTACTATAGATTTACATGGAACCACAGTGATCTAATTTAAAAAAAATTCTGACAATGGGGCACTTTTTGGAATAGTTTGAACATAGTTCTTCGGAGATGTCTCATTTAAAAGCTGATATTGAAACGAGATGATTTCTCAAGTTTCAACAAAATGAAAAACGGGTTTCAGTTTCTAAAAATGCATTAAACTAGTGCATCGGGTAGAAACCCAATGCGGATATATTTACAGCACTAGCAAACTACAATAAGGAGATAAACAAATCCAAAACCGCTTCCTGGAAAAGGAAGTGTGA